ATTTTGAGGTTCTTGAGCGCGATTTTCAACCGAATTCGCTGATATTTTGTACATTAGGTTCTTACTGGGTACCAAATATCTCTACTAAAAATTATATATATCGGTCCACTTTTTCTGGTAGCCCCCATATAAGGGCACCCCCAATTTTCGATACTTTGAGGTTCTGGAACGCGTTTTTCAACCGCATTTGGTATTTTGTAGTCGTATATGGTAGGAAACATTCCTACCAAATATTAATAATATTCGCCCCCTTTTTGGGGTACTCCCCATATAACCTCCTTTTTTATATTAAAATAGATATCTGATTTGTCCGCGTTTTGGGTCATTTCACCTGTAGAGGATAACGAGATAAAAAAATAGAACTTAATGTTCGATAATGAACTTTAGCCCGCATTTAGGCCTAGCCACCATATAATCATATCTACAGATGTTCGTTATTTTTAATATTTAGCGTATAGAAATGTATTCTGATGCAAACATTTTAGTTATAAATAGAGCCCCATAATGATACCTACCTATTGGAAAATTGTGGTTTACATAATCTGTTTGTAGAAATGTCTGTATATGTCCATGTTTTGGTATGTTCCCTATATTTTTATTTCAAATTCGTTTCAGTATACCTATGGTGGAGGGTATCCAAAGTTCGGCCCGGCCAAACTTAACGCTTTTTCACTTGTGTTTTTTTAAATCGCCTATTTTCGACTAAGAGACAAGCTGGAAAAAGAGGAAGATCTTGACCTTTTTTAGAGACATTGCTCCATGTTAACACAATAAAACAGCTATACCTTCAAGATTATTAGAGATTTTCACTTGAAATTTTAAGGAGACATTTTTAAGAAGTTGTAGCTTCAAATTAAATAAAAATACAAAATCGATTTTTTGATACCTAGAATGGGGAGCCCCATTAAATCAATCTGGTATGGTCTAGTTGGTTGATTTCTATAGTAACAGGGCAAAGTCAACTTGGTTGCTTTCTTTTGTAATATTTTCTCTCAAGATTGTAAGGTTTAAAAAATTGGAAAATAAAAGTAAATATTTACATCGAATAACAACATACGGAGCAAAGAATTGAGAAAACTTATGAAAATTTATGTTAAAATTTAAAATTATAGCCTTAACAGAAAACTTTAAATTCGATAATAACTCATTTGAAAGCGTGTATTTTAAATTTGAAAGCATATATTTTAAATTTTTGTCAGAAAAAACAACATTTGGATTCGACAAAAATTTATATACACTTTACCAAATTTCGTAGGTTGAAAATGTGGCTAGGATCAATTTTTTTCGGGAGCTTTTCTAAAATATTCTGTGGAAATTTTATAAATTGAATGATTTATTTGTGATATTTATTACGTTATGAACCATAGTGCGTATAACTGTTGTCAAAACGTATACGCCTAGTATCCCTTCGAACATTTCGTTTACTTTTATTTTTAAAGTAAACCCATTGAATATATTTTATTGCGCCCTTTCGAAACCAACTGGTTAAAACATCAACCTATATAGAACATTTTCTGTTGAAACGTATCATCAGACGATTCAAATTTTTACTCTGATTGGACAATACAACCAAAACCCCAATGGAGCAGTTCTTTCATATGGAGGCTATGGAAATTTTTGTCCTACATTAAATATTTTTGCGAACAGGTATGTCCAAAAGGGCAGATTACAGTCTCTTTAATTTAAAAATGCGATAAATGATTACTTGCCCTCTGACAAGTTCTACGACAAAGTGTGGGTTAATACCGAATATATTTAGCGAAACATTTTTACCCTTTAAGAAACATAAATTAAAAATTACACCCACTTCCAAAATGCTGTAAAGTCCTTGAAAATATCTAAAATGGCGAGACTTTTTTCTAGTGATATATTAATTAAACCTAGTCATTAGTGTGTATTCCGTTTGTGTAAAAAAGGGCGTATAACTATTGTCAACACGTATACGCTTAGTATGACTGTATTTATTTTAAAGAGTTTTAATATATGAAATGTTGAGTCCAATTCTCAGTTTCCCATATATATTTTCGTCCGATTTAATGTAAATGGTGTACCAAAGTCCCTATATATTTTTCGATTTCAACGAAATTTTGGCATAGTGTAATGAATTAGGTCTAGACTGATGTGTGTTAAGTTTCCTGAAAATCGGTACAGATTTAGATACAGCTCCCATATATATTTTCGTCCGATTTAATGTAAATGGTGTATCGAAGTCCCCAAATATATTTCGATTTGCACGACATTTGGCATAACGTAATGATTTAGATATAGCTTCCATATATATTTTCCTCCGATTTAATGTAAATGGTGCACCAAAGTGAATATCTTTCGATTTGCACGGCATAGCGTAATGAATTAGGTCTACATATCTTTTCTTCCAATTTTATGTAAATTATGCACTAAAGACCCAAAGTATAGGGACTATACGTGATATTTATACCCAAATTGGTTGAGATCCTCAAAATATGGAAATATACGAAAACTTGAACCGATATTAAAAGTTTTTGGTAGGAAAGTAGGAACACATAATATCATATATCCTCAAAATACCGATTTATATTACTCCCTCCAATATTTGCAATTTTTGGCAGGAAGATTTCCTACTCTAAATATAAAATTATAGCCAAATTATTTGAAAAACGTGAACCATAAAATTGAACCAAAATAATAGTTTTTGGTTGGGAGATTTTTTACTCAATGAGAACCCAGAATATCAAATCTCACACAATTCGATTGAAATCCGTGTCCGAAATGCCCAAAGTACCATTATAATTCCCCTTAATTCCCCTTGTGTCCTATAGTGCGTATAACTATTGTCAACAGGTATACGCATAATATTCCAGTGTTCACTTTATAGAGTTTTGATATAAGAAATGTGAGTCCAATTGGTTTCACAAAATGAAATTGCATATTTTTATTCAATTATAACATATGAATGAAACTTAAGATAACGGCGAGGGCGCTGAATGAACTTTAAACTGGTATTTCTACGACAGGAGTATGTCATTGCAAAAAAATGTTATCAGTAAAGTTAGATTGTACCGTAATATAGGGACTATACCTAATATTTACATTTATTTTCATGATAGCATGAATATTGATAGATTTTGGAAGGAAAATAAGGACCCCAAAATATCAAATAAACTCAAAATACACCATACAAACTATACCATAAAATTAAACCAACATTTATAGTTTATGGTTGAAAGATTTTCTACTCAATGAGAACCCAGAATACCAAATCACACCCAATGAGTTTGAAATACTTGGCCGAAGAATCGTTATATTGGAGCTATACCAAAATGTGAAACTATGTAATTCTTTAAACAAAGTTATTAACTCTGATTCACTCATTTACTTCCATGATTTCATTGGCATTGTGATTTCAGAAGTTCCAATAAGTAGAAAGTCGTACCTTTGTCGTCGAAAGAATGATAGAAAATCCATTCTTTAATAAACACAACAAAAACAAATTATACACCTTTTTAAGTCTTCAAAATAAGTTATTTTCGTTTAAAAGACAACAAACAAAGATAATAAAATAAACTAGAAGTTTTAATCTATCCGACACTTTTTGTTTCACTTCAATACGTCTTTTTTTCGCTATGTTACAGCAATTTTAAAATCACCTTCATTTCAACTATGCTACTACTACCATTGTCCATTTACTTCATATGCAGACCACTGTGTCTAACCAAAAGCCTCCCACTGTTTAACTGCATTTTTGTTTATATTTCCCCCACATTACAGTCTTGTTATTAGCATCATCTCTAACAACCAACCATAAATGCAGCAACAACCCCTTTTTAATGAGAGAGAGAATGTGTGTGAGAGTTTTCCCCCCAAAACAGATAAAGCTTTCTCTTGCACTGAGTGTGTGTGTGTGTTTGTGCAGCCAAAGAGACGTGTCTGACCTTGACATAGAACATGCAAAATAGCAAAACAAAAACATATCAATAATAACAATGCGATGCAATGCACAGAGAGTGTGTGCACTGTGGCGTAAGTGGGAGAGTGAGAAAAAGAGAATCAATTTTGTGAGGAGAAAGTGTTTTTAATATAACAACAATCAATATTACCAGCAAAGGGAGAGAAAGTGCATTTGTGGGAATGAAATAAATGACTGTCAAGGTTAAGGAGAAAATCTGAGTAAGGAAACTGTCTACAAATCAAGGCATATTGCGGCAGTTGAATAATAACAACGGTAATGATTTAACAAAATAATAAAAACGTGGTAATATTTTTTTTGCAATTGAGGGCCTAAAAGTATGCTTTAATTTTTGTGTGGCAAAGTGAAAATAAAGCAACGCATCAATTAGAATGCGTCACAATAAAAAATCTCTAGAAAATCAAAGTGCATTGGAAATTGAAATTTTCGGTGACTGTTTTGAATGACAAAAATTCTTTTTTTTTCTTGTTCGTCTTTTTTCTCTTCAATTTCATAACAATTTGTTTGTAAACAAAAGACCATCAATTTCGTATTGTTTTATTTTTAATGTTAATTGATTTTGACCGAGAAATCTTGTTAAACGTAAAAGCAGAAAAAATTATTTTTTCACACTTTTTTTGAGTATTGTTGTTTTCTTTTATACTATTTGGTTGGCACTTTTCTTTTCGAGATTTACAAAATAAAGAAAAAAAGTAGAAACGTAACCACGAACATTTTCTCAGAGTGGCAGAAAATTTGTTTTGGTGGCCCAAAAAAAATGCAAATCAAGAGCAAACGACTGACAGCCATAATACATCCATATGCGTTTTGATCATGACCGACTAAAGATCAAATCGCATTAACCAATTTAGAAGAAAAATACAATTTAGTCGAAAATCAAGTGTCGTCGGGAAATTTTCAAAATCTACAGAAAAAGAAAAAAATACGGTTACGGTGAAGTGAAAGAAAAACGTTTTATTTTTTCAAAAATAAAGGCTGTGATATAATAATTTATCTTCTACAAAAAAAAAAATACAAAAAGGAAAATATTGATCTCAGAAAAAAAATTTCAAAATAAAAATAAACAAATAAAATAAATAATTCACCATGAATCGCCGTTGTTTGCATTGGAGCTATTTAAATTACAAAGAAATCCCCATGGATTTATATTTATACGAGGATTTGGAAGAAGTCTATCTAAAGGAAAACTACATTGCCGCCATCCCCAAGTGGTTTTTAAATTTAACAAATCTCAAATTTATCCACTTGGCCGGCAACAATCTCACCCAACTACCCGAAGAATTGTATCTCTTGGAAAATCTCGAATTTTTAGACGTCTCCAATAATCAGCTGCAGCATCTACCCTCATCCATTGGCTATATGCTGAATTTGTTGCATTTGAATGTCAGCTCAAATGAATTGACAGATTTGCCAAAAAGTAAGTAAAAAAACTGCAGCAGAGAAGTGGAAATTGAAATCGTAATCGTGAAATGAAATATCATAAGGACGCCAAGTGAACTATTAAATCATTTCACAAGTGATCGATCTTGATAGCTATTACAAATAAATTGGCAAGAATTGTTGATGGGGGGTTCTTTTAGGGCATCCGAGAAAAATAAAACAGAAAGTGCATTATAATTGGATCGAGGCCATACACTTGAGGGAAAATATGTGATTTACACTTTCAGAAATATGTGATAGGTGGCATTACAGGAAATCCGTACTAAGAATGCGGATCGCCGAAACACACAGTATTCGAAATCTATGCAGGAATAAGATTAACCCATTAATGCCCATTGACAACATAAGTTGCCAGGTGATTTATTCACCCTTGTTGAAATCTTAGATAGACGTGGGAATAGAAAACCAGTAAGGAAAGTAGTAAAGTCGGACTGGGCTGACTATATGATACCCTTCACCACTTTGGGTATATTCTACATATTTATTCTAAGAGACGTCTCGTGTTTGTTATATATCTATATCTGAACCAATTTCGGGGAAACTTGCCAGAGACTAATTTATATTACTTCAGTACGTTGTGTCAATCGGCCCAGCTATGAATTAGCACACATTATTATAGACGCAATTCAGTACGCTATGTCAAATTTCGTGCCAATCGAAAGATTTATAGGGACTTTGGTACACCATTTACCTTAAATCGGACGAAAATATATATGTGAGCTATATATAAATCTGAACCGATTTTCACGAAACCCTGCTGGGAGCTATATCTATAGCTATATCTAAAACTAAACCGATTTTTCCCAATTTCAATAGGGTTCGTCCTTGGGCCGAATATGTGACTTGTGCCAAATGTCATCCAAATCGGATTATAAATGCGACCTGTACTTTGTTTAAAATTTAACATCTACAGACGGACAGACGGACGGACATGCATAAATCGACTCAGAAAGTGATTGTATGCATATTCTCAAAAGGAACCATGGGTCTATCTCGATTATTTTTGCCTGTTACAAACATATGCACATAGACATAATATCCTGTACCACAGTGTGGTGAGGGGTATAAAAAGGGGGTTATATGGGAACAACCTGTAAAAAGGGGTGAATATTAATAATTTTTGGTGGGGAGATTTGTTACCATATACTACAACAAAATACCAAATTACAGCGAATTCTGTTGAAAAACGCGCTCAAGAACCTCAAAATATCGTAAATACCCTTATATTGATTAACCTATATTTATAATTTTTTGTGGAAAGATTTGCTACCCAAAAAGAACTCAAAGTGCCAAATTTCAACGAATTCGATTGAAAAGCGTGCTCAAGATCCCCAAAATACCGAAAATTGGAGGTATCTTTATATGGGGGCTACCCGAAAAAATGGACTTATATTTATAATTTTTGTGGAGAGATTTAGTAACCAAAAATAACTCAAATTACTAAATTACAGCCAATTCGGTGAAAAAATCCGGTCAAAACACCCAAAAACTGAAAATTGGGAGGTACCGTTATATGGGGGCTATCAGAAAAAGTGGACCTATATTTATAATTTGTAGTGGAGAAATTTGGTAGCCAATAAGAACTCATTGTACCAAATTTCAGCAAATTCGGTTGAAAAACGTGCTCAAGAACCCCAAAATACTGAAAATTGCGGGGTAGCCTTATATAGGAGTTATGCCGAAACGTGGACCGATATAGCCCATCTTCGACCTGCCTGCAGACAAAAGAGGACTCTATGCAAAATTTTAGCGTTCTATCTCAATTCGTTTAGACGTAACAGGCAGAAGGACATGCTTAGATCGTCATAGAATTTTACGCTGATCAAGAATATACATACTTTATAGGGTCGGAAATGATTATTTCGATGCGTTACAAACGAAAAAAACTAATATAACCTCCATACTATGGTGGCGGGTATAAAAAATACATCTTAAGTTGCCGGCCGAAATGTCTGCCTATCCTCTTTGTTCTCAAAGTTTCTGAGCAAATTATGATTCTTGACCACTGAAGACCACGTGTACCATAAAATTTCTGGGCATAAATGGGTTAATAAAAGGTAGAACTAGGTTTTTTTTACTCATTAACATCAAATCGGAAGATATCCTTTAGTGCTGTACGCTAATGCAGATTACTATAATCATCCCTGCGTTTTTTTGAGGATATATTCATTTTCTCATTCCATTTTCAATACCAAGTCATCTGCGGGACAAACCCCGTAATTTTATTGAAATTACAAATTGTGAATAAAGTTTTTGAAGGTTTTTAAAACGTAAATTTCATATCAGCAACAATTTATCGGAAACTTACAAAATAACGTAAGAATTCACTTTTTTGTGCTCAAAACATTTTTGTGCTCATATTTAAAAAAATCAATTTTGTATTAGTAATCGATAGCATAACAACATCGTTTACAACATCTGAAATATTAACTATTTCTTTTGTGAGATCCTCAATTTTTTTTCCAATTTTTCGTTTTCTCAAAGGTTCTCTATGGGATTTAGGTCAGGTGTCTGAGTAAGCCAATCTAGCACACACAATATTTCATTGCTTTGTCACCTTTGAGTCATTTCGTGTTGAAAAAGGGGCATTTCCCTAGAGTGCCATATGCATCTAGGGAAGTGCCCCTTTTTTTAATCTTCCGACCTCATAATTCCATTGATTTTATGAATCGAGACAATTCCTTGTCATGACCGACTAAAGAAGATCAAATCGCATTAACCAATTTAGAAGAAAAATACAATTTAGTCGAAAATCAAGTGTCATCGGGAAATTTTCAAAATCTACAGAAAAAGAAAAAAATACGGTTACGGTGAAGTGAAAGAAAAACGTTTTTTTTTTTCTTATTTTTTCAAAAATAAAGGCTGTGATATAATAAGTTATCTCCTACAAAAATACAAAATATTGATCTCAGAAAAAAAATTTTCAAAATAAAAATAAACAAATAAAATAAATAATTCACCATGAATCGTCGTTGCCTGCACTGGAGCTATTTAAATTACAAAGAAATCCCCATGGATTTATATTCATACGAAGATTTGGAAGAAGTCTATCTGAAAGAGAATTACATTGCCGCCATACCCAAGTGGTTTTTAAATTTAACAAATCTCAAATTTATCCATTTGGCCGGCAACAATCTCACCCAACTACCCGAAGAGCTGTATCTCTTGGAAAATCTCGAATTTTTAGATGTCTCCAATAATCAGCTGCAGCATCTACCCTCATCCATTGGCTATATGCTGAATTTGTTGCATTTGAATGTCAGCTCAAATGAATTGACAGATTTGCCAAAAAGTAAGTAAAACAAAAGCAGAGAAGTCGAAATCGAAATCGAATATCATAAGAACGCCAAGTGAACTATTAAATCATTTTCACACAATTGATCTATCGTGATTGCTATTACAAATAAATTGGCAAGAATTGTTGACGGGGGGGTTCTTTTAGGGCATCTGAGAAAAATAAAACAGAAAGTGCATTATAATTGGATCGAGGCCATACACTTAAGGAAAATATGTGATTGACACTATAAAAATGTTATGATATGTGGCGTTACATGAAATCCGTACTGAGAATAGGAACGCAGTAAAACACAAAATTAGGGTAAAATTTGCGCAAGAATGTAATTATCAAAGTTTCGTAAAAGTCGGTTCAGATTTAGGTATAGCTCCCATATATGCGATTTCATTCGATTTTATGTAAATGGTGCACCAAAGCCCCTATATTTCTTTCGATTTGCACGAAATTTCGCGTAGCGTACTGAATTGAGTCTAGAGTGATGTGTGCAAAGTTTCATGCAAATCGATTCAGATTTAGATATAGCTTCCATATATATGTTTGTCCGATTTATTGTAAATGTTGCACCAATATCTTCCTATATATCCCTATGTATCTTCCTATTTACACGAAATTTGGCATAGCATACTATATTGAGTACATAATAATGTGTGCAAAGTTTCATAAAAATCATTTCAGAGTTAGATATAGCTTCCATATATATTTTCGTCCGATTTTATAAAAATGGTTCACCAAAGCTCTTTTATTTATTTCGATTTGCACGAAATTTGGCATAGCGTACTGAATTGAGTATAGAATGATGTGTGCAAAGTTTCATGAAAATCGGTTGAATTTTAAGTATAGCTCTCCTATATATTTTCTTCCGATTCTGTGTAAATTGTGCACTAAGGACCCAAAGTCTGGCCTAGTCCGACTTTACTACTTTAAAAATAATTTGTATACACATACAAACAAATAAGCGGCAACTATTCTCTGATCACATATAATTTCATGTCTTATATCTGTATTGGTTGACATTCCGACTCGTTACTAGCGTTGCATATAGAATTTTGTTTTTTTTTTTTTTAACCTAACAGATCTAGCTCACCGGCAAGCTCATGAAGCCAGCTCCGTCAGTGAGCTACTTCCCTATCCCACGCAGAACAATGTGAGGATCGACAATTCTATACAAGCCCCACCTAATCCTCAATCTGGAACATATTTTCTCATATTAATGCAACAAACTCTTTCAAAAAGAATGTCTTACTCTAAACTAAAACAAAAGCGTTATTTTTTTTTAAATTCTCCTCCCATTACACAAGAGACACACAGCAAAACATTTAATGTGATTTTGCTATAAGAAAAAAAGTTGACGATAACGGTGCATTGACATCCCAATTGATTAGTAGTCGCAATTATCCTTCCTTCTTTGTCCAAAATAAATTTATTAATTGCATATTGTGCAATAACTATATTCCAATTCAGCTTCGTCATCCTCAATGCCAATCCATCTTCATTTACTAAATTTAATCTGATATTGTTTCGATAGGTTCCACAGCTCTACATTACTTATGGTGTTGGGCCAGTATTTTCTGCATATGATCCTAAGGCAACTGATTACCTGAAGCTTTCGACACAAGCCAGGTTTCACTGACATATAGCAGAATCGACTTTAAACATACTTAGTTTCTCCATACATCTTGAAGTCGACCGAATGCTGCTCTCGCTTTTGTTAGCCCATTAATTACGTCCGTTTCTGCAACACTAATTGTATTTGCCGTGCTCCCTAGATAGCGGAACCTCTCGGCGTACTAGTGTTTGTTAATTTTCATTCCCTTAGTTTTGTTGATATTAATCTCAAGTCGAACATTGCGAGCCAGTCTTTCCAGATCTTCTACTTTTGTCCGCATGCTGGATATCTTGTGAGAGAGAAGGCAGATATCAATCGCATACTCTAAGTCTTCGAGCTGTCGTGAGACACTCCATATTATGCTTCTTCTCTGAGAGCAGGCTTAATTCATTATTTCATCCAGTACAATTGTGAACTGTATGGATGACAGAGAGCATCTTTATTTTTCTCCTGTGTTGGTGCGAAACGGTTGGTTTATGTTTCCGTTGTGAAGAACTGAGAGTTCTACATCTTCGTACATAGCTCTTATTATTCGGATTATTTTCTGGGGCACTCTCTTTTTGCATAATGACTCCCCTATGACAGTTCGTCGAAAGCTTTATTTAGGTTGTTCTATAGATTGTGCTATTATGACTCGTAGGGTGCCTGACCTGGTCCACACAGCTTCTTTTTGGTTTGAAGCCAGCTTCTTCATCTCTTAGAAGGTTTTCTACTTGACTTTGAATTCTTTTCTGTATTATTTTTGCCAGATTTTTGTATATGATTTTGAGCAGTGTTACAATATTTCAAGTCGCCATTTCTGGATAACTTCATAACAATATCTATCTTCTTCCTTCTGCCGGCAAATCATCTCCTGCTCCTGCTGTTTTGTAACTTTTTAATTTTTTTATTACCTCATTTATTTCATTCAAGCTGGAAAGGTTCCACGATATAGTCAGTGCACGTTCCATTGGACTTTGGTTATTTTCAGTGGTGTTTCTGACGTTACTGATTTCATCGAAATGTTGTTCAACATTGTTTGTTATTAGCCTACCATTACGATCTTTAATTGCTTGGCTCCTGGTATACCCTCTATTTGTGAGACTGTCTATTATTTGGTGTAGCTTTCTCATGTTATTCTGGCTAACAGCTTCCTAGGTTGTTTTGGTCAGATTTTCTAGGAACTTTCTTATGTGGTATTTCTCTAACGTATCGTTTTCTACTGAATGCTCAGAGTATTAAATTCCTTTAAACGGGTTATTTACTTTTGCATTTTTTCCACATTGCATTAAGTATCCAATCGCCATCCTTGGTTATCTGCTTACGCTGCAAACTCAATGGGCAGTTTTTACTACGCCGCACAAGCAAATCTGTAGAACACTCGGAGATATTCACCTACAACGCATTGTTTCCATCATTTTTTTTTCCATTGTTTCACTTTTCAAAATCGCTTCTGCTATTTTGTCATTCTTCTACAACACATCTGTCCCGAATTACCCGAAATATTTCTTTCGCAGTAAATATACCGAAAGCTGAGCAATATAATTGGACCAGGCCGACCACATTACCCTACAAAAATGTCACTGAACTTAACTATCTGCAGAGCTAAACACTAAGCCTGACAAAATTTCGCGATATTTACACCCTATGAAGGTTATGGTAGTAAACCATATTAGAATATGTAGACTGTATATATTGAAATCCGGCTCGAAGGGCCAAATGTTTAATATTAAAATTCCCAAAAAAAAATCCAATTCAATACTCATAGAGCACATAGAGCGTTGTTTTGTCACTACAGATAAGTGTGCATTTCTTAACTTTACCAAATGAGTGGAACAATAGTTTTGTGTGGACTTCTGTCAAAAAATATGAAATCTTATCTTTGATTTGGTCTGCAGGAAATACGAGGATAATAGGTTTGCTACTATTTTCACAAATACCAATGATTTATATATGTATGGCTTCTGGTTATAGCGGAGCTGCTATTAGAAAGAATATCAATTTGAAAAATATCATCCAATAATCCGAAAAGAGCACTTTCCAGGTACTTTCTACTTTCCAGACTTGCCAATTTTTGTTAATAATGTCCTCCTACCTTTATTAATGAAGTCCATATCCTAAGATCATATAAAGTTTTAAATTTAAACGTTTTTCAAATTGTTTAAAAAATCTAACATTACTGCTTTCAATATTTTGTTTCCTCATGATTTTTTTGAAATATTTAGATTTGTTTAGAAAGAAATCCCACAAGATTTAACACTACCTGCAATATGTGTCAAAATACTGAAAATACGGACCTTGACCTTAACAAAAGTCTAGCCAAAAAACCCCATGAGACAATATCGTCAGTAGTTGGCGCACTTGCATCACAAATGTCGATAGGATATAATTAGAAACAGTAACAAATTCTTAATTGATTCTAATTTAAGAACAAATGAATTTCCTTTCATCATTGTTTTACTGCAGAAAAGTATAAAGGTAAAAAAATCGATCACACGTAAAGATTTCAAAGGGAAATGAAATACCAATAATATATGTATACGCAGTAAAAGATAATCAGCAATATTTGTTTATTCGAAGTTTCAACTTACTTGCTACAGACGGCAGGGTTTACATATATAAATATAGGTGTGTCTGGTTACTTTTCCAGTAATATTTACTCAGTAAGTTCAGAGTTCAGAGAGCAAGCCGTTTTTACTCTCTTTTGCGATAATACTGACAAAAGTAAACAGACAACATTTAGTAAGATTCAGCAAATAAACAGCTGATTCAAGAAAATATTTTTATTTGCGTCAAAATCAACAAACAAAGGACGAACACAATTATTTGTATTGCATTTAATATTAAAAATAAAATGAATGTTGGCGTGATACCGAGATGCAGTGAAACCCCAAAAATAAAGAAAAGAAAAACGAAAGATAGTGTAGTAAATATTTTCAATCTTTATTGTAAAGTAGATGGGTTTCGTGAGAAACAAGACTTTACCTTATGCGTGCGTTAACGATAGCGAGAGATGTTTTACCAACGAAAGCGGGAATGCAAGTTTAATCGACGAGAGTTAGATTGCAAGTGATGTTGCGATGGGCAAGAATGCTACAGCAAGGCCGTGATCAACAACTACGGCCACAGCATTGGAAAGCGCCTCTATTCATCCGGAGATATATTAGATCCTACAATCCAAACTAGCCGAATGAGGCTCCTGGAAGATATGCAGAGAAGATTTCCCCATTGGGCTCCGAAGAGCGGCCAATTAAAGTGGTTAATTGTAATGCTGTAGAAGGGGAAACAATGTATGGAACATATACATTGCCGTAAGCAATGTATCGAACTTAAACAATGAACAATAAAAAAATGTTGATTTGGTATGTTCCCCGGGAACATTTAAGCTTCCTGCATCAATACATTGCCCTCTTTCAGGAACTTGCCTAAAAATATAAATAATTAGTTTCTAATTTAATTAAACTTTGCATTACTTACGAATTTTTTTTCCAATATCTGTAATTTTTATATAACTTAATTTCAAATTGAACTTTGCAGATTAAAAAAATGTTTTGAATAATTTTTGTGTTTGGTCATTAAACAGCTGATCGAAAAATGGCTGAGTTTGCAAAATCTTACTGCATAAAATTCTTTCAGTAAACTCCAGTAAGTTTGTTGTTGTTGAACTATCAAACTCTGCTCTCTCACTTGACTCTCTTTTACTGGATTTTGGGGTAAACAGACAACATTTAGTAAAATTTGGTAACAAGTGTTACCAAATATCGAATAAACAGACACAACTTATGTTAATACGCGTTTAGACTATGTCTTCTAAACCGAGTCGATCTCTAAATCGAGGTACTACATTCCACTCTTAGATGTTTAGGCTAGTATTTAAATTATTTAAAGTTGACAGTCAGCTGTCTTTGGTTTACGTATACATACCCATTTCACTGGTTTTATAAATTCTGTCACAATTTTTGTTCGAGTCACAATAAATAGGTACTCCATTTAGCGCTCCTGACTATTCGATTTACTATTAAAATGCGTAGTTTCTACTTTAATTCGATGTGCAATTTTGCCAACCATACTAGAAATATTACTAGAAACAATTTGACACAGGGTCGGGACCAGCAACGTACACAGGATTTCATTTCGGGAGGGCCCGGTAGTACAAAATGAAAAAATTCGCTGTTGCAAACATAAATTTACTATGAAAAAAATTCATATGAAAAAAATTCATGCGTACGTCCCTGGTCGGGACCATGATGTCGAATTTTCCTTATAATATTTCACATGGTTGGCAACTTTGTACATCGATTTCAAGTAGAAAAGCAGGGCTGTATTAAGTAGATTTATGGTAAATGAGATGTTAAGTGAGATGGTAAATCGCTTCAGACTTTATTGAAAATATTATTTTATTTAACATAACAATCTTAGGAAATATTTTTTAAACACTTATCACGTGAACATTGTCTTTATTATCAGTACATTCCAGCTGCTCATATTTAATTATATAAGAATTAAAGGGTAAATTATGTTCTTATTTTTAGTAAAAACTCGATATAATAATTAAATCGACATAATGCACATTATCACAAAAATACTATAGTCTAAAGATTAAAAAAAACACTAAAGATTTAAAAAAATCGCAATCAAAGGAAGTTCACTTGGCCGCCATCCTTTAAATAAGTAATTTTATATTTTGAGCATTTTCATCTTATCTATGTATATCTGTCTTCCTTTTATTTCAGCTCTCACCTATATGAAACGTTTGGAATCCCTTAACATTTCGAAAAATAAACTAAAACGTATACCTCAATTTATATGTGAATGTTCCCGCCTCAATGAATTGAATCTCAGTGAAAATACCGAAATATGGCACATTCCAGAAAGGGTTGCCAATATGCCGTCGCTACAAATGCTGTCAGCTGATAGTAAGTGAAATCATAAAGGTCCAGGTTGGCCTATTAATAAAGAAATCCAAAAAGAAAAAAAAACAGCAAACTTGAGAAACTGCTGATCTTACTGGGTGACCCAAGCATAATCAAAGTTTGCGCTTTGTGGTGTGAAATAGTGTTGCCAATAAAAACAAACAACCATACCCGTTAGCAAGAGGAACTAGTTCGTAATCAGAAAGTCGTCGATTCTCAGCTCTACAGTGACTAGTTCCACTTTACACCCCTTTACAATGTATTTAACTGTTTACTTTAGGAGACAACCAATTGACACTCCTTCGCTTACTCGAGGACTAGTATTATACTAGTTACAGGTTTACAGTCAAAGACTAGTTACATTAGACTACCCACCTTTCTAGTTCCGTAAGAACTAGTTAAGTACCGTTTTTATGATGATATTAGCAATAAAACACTCATTTATTAATACTACCGTACTACTTTCATACTGCAATTTCGGTCGTGTCAGATCCTTCGGTTACAGGTATTGAATCTGGAAATAAATAACAATGATTATAATATTATAGTAAAAAAAGAAAATATGTGTCTAATACCTTACCTAAAAGAACATTGCAAAAATTACTAAGAGAATGTAATCCCCTTTTCCATAATTTTCATTAATTCACGTTTTATAATAGATGTCATGACCTTGATCTGTAAGGAAAATACAATAATATTTATTCAATAGGAAATAAATTATATACATAAGTACTTACATATACATATATCCTTGCATTTGAGTTAAAAATTCATTTGTTTTACATGATACAGATTTTCTTTAATATTTCACAATTTGATGCCACCGCACTTCAAGACGATCACAAAAAGACTGGTTATTTCCAAACAAAATTCATCTTGCATTCATGGAGAATAACGGATTTTTTATGCAGACCAACCACCAAAACCCGTGTTTTTTTTCTTTAAGGTCGCAACAGACGAATTGGTTCGGCTGATATTACTTTAGGATCAAATGTGTAACTAGTGCAGAGACTAGCTACATAACATAAAACAAAAACTAGTTTTTGTGGCTGTTGGGAGATAATTTTTAAATATTATTCTCTTCTCTTTTGAAAAAATAAAACCTATTTTTTTTTAATATCGCAAGTGACTCCTTCTCGTTTACTATAGGATAAAAAGGTAGTCAATTGGTTCCTCTTGCATTACTTTAGGGTCAAATAAGTAACTTTTACGGTTTATAACTAGTGCTGGAACTAGTTACATACCATCAATTGGAATTTTCATTGCTAGCGGGTAGCTAATGCGTTGCCAACTACAGTGAAAACAACGTCATGTGGTTTTTGTTTTTAGGCAACACGAAACTCGAACCTAAAGACAAATCATTGATTCTGTCATGGTGCAATAAATAGATAGTCCATTTAGAGCAGCTGATGTCTCTACCAACTGTCAAAGTGAATAATTTCTATTTGAAGTCGATGTGCAATGTAGCCAACCATGTCAAATATTATAAGGAACAATTTGACAGATGGTCGAGACAAAAACAAAGGTTTTTGTTTTAATACATACATCAGAATCTGAATCTAGGCCTTTATTTAAATAAGAAAGAATTTTTATTAATTTCACTTTCCTCTTTTTGCAGAATGCTCCTTAATCTACCTACCAGTGGCTTTGGCCAAATTCCTCGATTACTTAAGGATATTTAATAATTCTGCCATAACGCACATACCAATAATCTATGAGAAATTCTATCAGAACTATTTTGAGACTCCCACAAAATCTCCACATATGTAAGTGTTTGCATGAATGTTTTTCTTAAAGTTTTTCATGAATATTATGAAATAATTCGTAAAATTTTACATCATTTTATAAATGTTATTTTATGTGTCATAGTAATTAGGCATACTATATTGAAAATGAATCTTTATATAAAATAATATAAATTATGAATACAATACTAAATATACTATGATTACATAGCTATTAAAAATAATTTCCTAAAAATTATGAATACTATTTTTATAATATTATATACGTATAGTATCATAAAAGTTATGCTATAATGTCGTAGAAGTTTCATACAATGAATTATGCCCAATTTCTTACATATCATTTCTGTTATGCAAATTTCATAAAAAATAAGCATTACTTCATATTAATTATGCATAATTGCATATGTATTATGAAATGTTTCATGGAAAACATTATACAGTTTTAATCTATAATTATTACCTTAAAATTACAAACTATTTCCTTAAAATTTTTGTTTAAGAATCATTTCCTATTAATTTAAATTTAATTTCGTCTCATTTCTTTCAGTCCCGTCACCCACAGTGATTTCTTTTGGGTCGTCGAAAAGGAGACTTTCAAAAAATTACTTCTGCCAATAGGTACCAAAGAAATCTTTCCCGTGCCCTCAAAAGAAAATCAAGTCACCCTGTATGATGATTGTTTGAAAACATTGGAGAATTTAAATCGTCTCATGCCATTTTATGAAAATCCTGCATTAAAATATATGCTCCCCGAGAAATGTATGGTCAATCATATACGTAATGGACCCACGGGACGTTGTACTGTGTTTAAATGTTCAAATCCGCTATTTACCACTTATTATTTTATGGTGGTAAAGAGGTAAGTTGGAAATGGGGATATTGAGATAGGAGATTTTTACAAAATAGAACAGTGAGTGGGGGAAATGATGACAATCCGTCTGAAATAGGAAGCAACCGGAATATGGAATTAATTATTTAAATCCTCTGGATTTACTTATATTTAGTAAATCCAGAGGATTTAAATAATTAATTCCATATTCCGGTTGCTTCCTATTAATGTAAATTTACAATTATACACTTCGGAAATTCTGGCGGCATTTCTGATAATTTCAGACTTGTAAAACTTTTCTACAAAAACCAAGGGGCGGGTAAATGTTGTTGGTAACGCCTTTACTCGCACGTTGCATTTCGTGTTGCCAAATAAAAAACAATCACATGCCATACATTTCGCTGCGGTTGGCATCTCCTTCAATGCATTCAAGTGTGTTGGCAATACGAAACACAAAGCCGATAATTTTGAAGGTTAGATGGTATCAAACTATGCTTGGTGTACGCTCAGACTCATTTAGAAGTTTATTCTGTCTTCCATAATGAAATACACTTCCTACTTCTTAAAAAAAAATATTTATTTTTCTCTTCTTTAATTCCAGACGTGGCAGCACCTCTCGCCAGATATTTACCTGCTATTTTTGCACCATGTACTGCGCTAATGTTTGGCTCAATGAAAACAATAAGAAATATTATTGTATCGATTGGGAGATATATGAAGAGCCAATGGAGTAAAACTACCGCTGTATAGTTTAATAATTTATATTTATTTTATTGAATTATTTTTTTTTAATTTTAAGTTGTATTTAAGTAGCATATTTACAATTATTTAGCTTTATATTATTTTTCTAAAAATAAATTAGTTAAATTATTTTAAAAAAGTAATTATAGACCTTTTTTCATTATAGAAGTCGTCTGTTTGATATATATTTTAAGATAATGACAATTTAAATCATGCGTTAAAACACGTCCAATGTAAACACTTAAGGCAGTTACAAAACAAATCGACATATTGTAAATTGTGATATCATTTGAAACTGTCAATATTTAGTGTTGCCGACTACTCATAATCTGCCTGAACAGAGATCAAGGTGTCGTCTTGCCCATGGCACAACAAAAAGGTACTTTTAGAGCAGCTGAATCTCCGATTAACTGTCGAAGTGATTTGATTTTTCTGAAGTCAAATGTCAAAAAATTGACTATGTTTACGTGTCCATATTGAAATCAATTCACAATAATGGATTTTGTCAGCAAACTTGAGAAGCAGCAGGATGACCTTATTAATACACCTTGGTTGCTACTTGAATTCGTCGTGCAATGTTACCAACCATGAGAAATATTGCTTGATGAATTTTGACAGATGGTCGAATAAAAAACTGATGTTTTTGTTTTGATACACCTTCTTATTATTCCATCATGTCTGCTACTACTCGACAAAAACCGTTGTTTTTTATTAACTTCTCTTTCGAGATGAGCTACATGATCGGAGTTGCAATGAAAAGGAAAGCCAGAGAGATACTACATTCCCACCATTATGCGACGCGTTTCGCTGTTGGTTAAGCGGCTTATCAGGCATAGAGTCTAAACGCAACCAGCGAGTCTAGAGTCAGCGACGGTCGTTTACCATGTGTTTCTTATTGGCAACGAGAAATCCCGACGGCTGACGTTCGCGTCTAGCGGCTTGACGCTAGAATAGATTTTATTCATTTTTGCCCAGCGTCATAATCAAATTTTCTCCCTTGCTCTGAATTGAGTTGCCATATTTTAGGTAAAAAGCAGCAGTGCTACCAACATTTCAATGGAAAATTATATCAAAACATATGGCAATGCTGTTAAAAAAACATATATTTTCAAAGATTGTGGACGATTTTTAACAAATTAAAAATAAAATAGAAGAAAAATTGATCGAGGAAATAAAAATACAACATTTTGTTTAACTTGGAATCTCCTGATTACAAAAACACAATAAAAAGGGAGAAATTTGGAAGAGCATTGCATCTTGTGCCTCTAGCCGCTAACTCTTTCGTTTGGGTTTCGCGCCGGGGAAAAAATATGTCGCTGACTCCTGACACTCTGGTTGCGTTTAGACTCATATTGGGCAATGTGCTTACAAATGTCTTTACTTGTCGACTATTGTTGCGAAATTGCATCTACGAATTAAATTCAACCGTGTCAAGGTTCGGACATTTGGCATCACACCAGAACCGTTCTTGTTTCTGACACCTTATTATTGCCATACAAAACCACATGTTGTGGCTTCTTTTGTGGTTGGCAACACCTCCACTATGTCTACAATCATGCCACAATAAATATGTAGTTCATTTAGTGCAGTTGATGACTTGATTAACTGTCACAGTGCGTAATTTCTACTTGAATTCGATGTGCAATGTCGCCAACCTTGTGAAATATTATATGGAAAAAATTCACAGATGGTCGAGACAAAAACAAACATACATCACATTATTATTGCATCATGATCCTTGTTTTGGCAACATCATTGCTTTGTTTTGGCGTTATATTTTCTGTGGTTGGCAACGCTTCGTTAGCTCTTATGATGACGATGTACGGAATTTCTATTGCGGGTATCTTCAACAAGTTAATGACGCGACTATCCAGATGAGTTACTCTATGTTTACACCAGGTAAATTGAAGAAAATTACTATTTAAATGACGTGTTTTAGTAAAACACTTCTTGTCTAAACATGGCCTTAGATTTCATGGATTTTCATTACATCGAAGTTTGAAAGTGATTTTATTATTGACGAAATCCAAACATTTTCTGTGTCTCAGATGACTTTAAGATTCCACTCAAATTTGGCAACTGGACCTATATATTCTCTTCTTCATTTCTTTTTCTCTACGTTTTAACTCTAGTGTAGCCCATAAACTCTTCCCGTACATGGGTATATTTATCCAGCAGACAATTAACAGCTTTTGGATAATTTGACTGACAATCAATGCCTTTAAGACCCATGTGCCAGGCATTAACATAATCTGAATCCATGTTTCGATGAGGCCTGAAAATAAAAAAAGAAAAATCGCATTTTTATAACTTCTCAAAAGAAATTACTAAAAGTATTCACAATTTTAGAGATTTTTTGAATTAATTTATAGAATTTTGCATAAGTATATGCTAATATGAATAATTTCTATAAATTATGAACCAATTCATTAAATTATTAACTTCTTCATTCAGAAACTCAATATTAATTTGACCGGAATTTTTGAACAAATTCCTAGAATTAGACACAATTTTAATGATTTTATGAATTATTTCATAGCATTATGCATAAGTGTGTTCAGATTATAAATTAGTTCTTTAAATTATCAACCACTTATTTAAACTATGAAGTATTTCTATAAAATAATGAACCATTCATATGATCAATTTCTTTACATTATGAACAATTTCTTTAAATTATGAAAAACTTCTTCGTTTTATGAACCACTTCCTCTTTTCTCATTGAATAACGTACCTCAAAAACCGATACAATATCTCCGCATACAGCCCCTGATGCACATCGATTTGTGCATTTTCACAAATGGCCTTTAGCAGACATTCTCGACCATTTGTCCTCCGTCGATTCATTTGATTTTCAAACCATTGATAAAGAAACAACTGTGGCTCATCTGTTTGATCATTTTCCTTTTCCGATTCTATAAAAGACCCCAACGAATTCAAACTTCGTGTATCCCATTTATCCCACCAATATATAGGCTTTGGCGGTAGATTATATTGAAATTGAAAATTAACCGCCATCGCTAGGGTACGCCAACTGCGTTTATCCTCCAAATCAATGGGAAATGCCACGCCGATATTGAGCTGGAAGAGAAGAATGGGAAAAATATTATTATATGTATGTATAAGGGAATTTCTAAATTATTATTTATAAGTATTGTGTGTTTGAGATTAGGCTAAGCAAGGGTAGTTTACGATGTACCTAAAGACAAATGTTTAACTTTGACAGTTAATCGAATCGTCAGCTGTGCTGAATGGACTACCTATTTATTTTGCCATTGTCTTACCTTAAAAACTCCCGAATGTTCGAATATTAAATACCGCTTTTCACGACGATGCTGCTTCCAGTGATGTAAATTTATATTTGAGAAGGTGGTATTTGACTCAGATTCCAGAGTCAAAATAATCGTTGGCAGTAAGAGCACATTAAGGATATATAATATTCTGGAATAATGAAAATTAAAAACTTAATAAATAATACAAATGGTATCCCAAATAACCCGCCAGCACTATATTTAATAATTAATATTTTTTTATTTATTGTCACATATTTTTCGAATTTTTTACAAAAAAAGTCCAACAAAATTTTGATGAGATTATTTGAGCAAAAATATGTCAGTGAACTGGACAAAAACATTTTGATAAATAAGTCTTCTGTTGCGCCTAGAATATATGGGCTTCCTAAAATCCATAAGGAAGGTACTCAATTTGTTCAAGTATTTATTCACCAATCTATGCATTATCTAAATATATGGCAACAATTTTAAAACTCATAAGGAAGGATTAAAAATACAGCATTAAAGATACAGTTGAATTCAAATCAAGGATCAAAAGTCAAACCAGTGACGAAGAGGAAATACCAATATCCTTTGGTGCAGTTTCACTATTATTATTTTGTACTCTGAGAGTGCTTTTGACATATTTCCTTTTACTAGCATTAAAATTAAAAAAGAACTGGAACAGAACATATGTATCAAAGATTCAACATACTTTTTATACAAGGATAAAATTTATGAACAGCAAATCTCTCCCATCATTGCAGATATCGTAATGGAAGAAGTACTTGACGTAACAATAAAAAATTGAATATAAAATCAAGGATACTAAAAAATTATGTTGATGACATAGAAAATAAATTAAGGACATTAAATTGATTTAATAAATAATTGTCATTCGCCATGAATGTGAGTCAAATAAGAAATTCCGTATCTTGATGCAGAGGTGGTACGAAAAGTAGGCATACACATGTTCAGTGGGAAAAATTGCTATATCATTTATATTTAAAAATATCAGAGATAATAATAAATGTTTACTCCAGGCATCCTAAACAGATAAAAATAAACACAGCCAAAAATTGCATACACGGAGTATTGTACATTATCGATTTTAAATTCCACGCTAAAAATATAAGAAAAAATCCGAAAAAATCACAAATGAATGATTATCCAAAAAACCATCAGTCAATTAATCTAAAGAAATAAAATCTAAGAAAGTTGACCACCAATATCGGGAACTATGGCAAAAGGTATATGTTGGTACTAAAAAAACTAAACTAAATCCGACTAATATGTACATGGTGGAAATGCTTCACACAATTAATGTTCCCGCCGAAAAGAGAATGAATTTTAAAACAGACACATAGAACTGTACCCAAATATACCGAATTGTTATAAGAAAAACATCAAAATAGAAACAAAATTTAGTTAGATGTCACGTGTGGAGAATAAAGGTGTTGCAAAAATGTTTACAAAAATGTTATCAAAATTGTTAATTTTCAATTCAAGATAAAAACTCCCTGATAATGATCGAAATATCGGAAAATGAAATAAAAACACTTAAATAAAGCAAAATTTGTTTTATTAAAATCACCTCGAGCCGAACCAAATAAAAATATAAGGTCACCAAATGTCACATAAGAATTAAAATAGTTTTTAATAAATACTATATTCGAATAAAATTTAATTTTCTTCTGTCATTTTACGTTTTTAATGCATTTCATTCTGAGTAGGAAAAATACTTTTTTTTGAAGTCTTCATAACACGATTGGAAAGATCAATTAGTTTATTATTATTTTTTTAATAAAACCTCTTCATAATTTGCACACAATTACTATTTCTTGAAATTTAATTTGTATGCCTTCCTTTAATTTGTTTAATATTATTTTTTATTTATTAAATTTATTTTTTTAGTTATTAAAATTAATTTTTTCATTAAATGTATATTTTTCAACTTCTTCAATCCACAGTATTATTAGAGAAAATATTTATTTTTTTATTTCAAGCATTAATATTTTTAAATAAAATATATTTTTAAATTTACATACACAATTTTCATTATTGTTTACAATCTGTGTTTCTATTTTTTAATTTTGTTCACTCAATATGTATCACTTTCCGTTATGTTTATCCAATTACTCGGATGTGTCAATAAAGACTGTATTCTTATCGTCAACTCAAACTTCCAAAGTAAAATTTTTGAAGCCTCTTTTAACTGCGTACAAATGCATGAGAACAATTAATACCTTATAAAATTTATTATCGTGATAGTTAGCTGTTCTTGTCATGTCAATTAGTAGGATCTGTGAAATTTTATTCACGCGCTCCACACGTCACAGATTATTAACATACGATTAACAACTATCATGGAATTTAATTAAAAAAACATCACTAATTATGTGAGAGGGAGAACGAGAGAGATAGCTTTGAATAATTTATTTTTGGATTTTCAAATATATATATATATATATATATATATATATATATACATTGATTTACAAAATATCTCGACTAGTCAGTTCCCTACAGCAATATGGAAAAGTATTAATGACAATTTGTTCGGATATGGCCAGCCGTACCACCGTAGTCTTCTATAGTAATGATATTAATTTATAAATAAAATACAACTACAATTCAAAATTTTCCCTAGCCCTAAATTAAAATATCAAAAATGTGCAAATTGAACAATCTCGCATCAGGCGCCATTTTTAAAAAATATATATTTAGTTTATTTTTAGTTTGCCAAAAATTCGCATGATTTCGTATGCCCTACATCAACATATGAAAAGATTTTCTTAAACTTGGATTCATCTGAAACATTTTCTACAAATTTCAATAATAAATACTAAGGGTAATAATATCACTGATCGATATTTTCCGAGAGGTAATATCAGAGGTATATTTGTAGAAAAATACACATAACTTCATTAGATGAACCCATGCATCATTTCCTGCTTTCAAATATTTGAAAATTATTTTCACATTGTGTGAAGGGTGTCACAAAGTCGGCTACAATATTTGTTATATTTATTAATATTTGTTTGTTTTTTTTTTAATTTTTAAGTTATAAAGTTTTCAATTTAATGCCTACATTGTTCCCATAAAAACAAATCAACAACATCTTGATATGCCGTTAATTATTTATTACCATTAAAAATTTTGTGGCACGCTTAGTACGGTTAAATATTTTTGTATTTTATTGTATCTATATTTTTATTCCGTTTTTATTTATAACTGGTGTGAAATGTGCCAGATATTTGGTTTAAACTGGAATTTGAATCATTAATTTTAAACATCACAAATGGTGTGATATTTTACACATTTTTTAAAATCTGTGTTTTAAAATAATTAACTTTCACTATTGAAAATTGGTGACGGTAGGAGCTAAGCGCCAATGGGTTAGCTTTTATGTTTAAAAAAATTACATGTATTATGTGGGTGTTCCATAAAAAGAATATACATTTATAATAACTCCGATTACTACTGACTATTTATACCCTTCACCACACTGTGGTACAGGGTATTATGTCTTTGTGCATATGTTTGTAACAGGCAAAAATAATCGAGATAGACACATGGTTACTTTTGAGAATATGCATAGAATCACTTTCTAAGTCGATTTATGCATGTCCGTCCGTCCGTCCGTCCGTCTGTCCGTCTGTCCGTCTGTCTGTCCATGTTAAATTGTAAACAAAGTACAGGCCGCATTTATTATCCGAATTGGATGAAAATTGGTATAGGTCACTTATTCGGCCCAAGGACGAACCCTATTGAAATTGGGAAAAATCGGTTCAGATTTAGATATAGCTCCCATATATATATTTAACCGATTTAATGTAAACGATCCCTATATATCTTTCGATTTGCACGAAATTTGGTACAGCCTAATCATTTAGGTGTAGAATTATGTCTGCCAATTTTCGTGAAAATCGGTCCAGATTTAGATATAGCTCCCATATATAGTTTCGTCCGATTTCATGTAAATGGTGCACCATAATCCCTATATATCCTTCGATTTGCACCAAATTTGGCATAACGTACTGAATTGAGCCTAGAATTATGTCTGCCAAGTTTCGTGAAAATCGGTCCAGATTTATATATAGCTCCCATATATAGTTTCGTCCGATTTCATGTAAATGGTGCACCAAAGTCCCTATATATCCTTCGATTTGCAAGAGATTTGGCATAACGCACTGAGTTGAGCCTAGAGTCATGTCTGCCAAATTTTTGAGAAAATCGGTCAAGATTTATATATAGCTCCCATATATAGTTTCGTCCGATTTCATGTAAATGGTGCACCAAAGTCCCTATATATCCTTCGATTTGCAAGAGATTTGGCATAACGCACTGAAATGAGCCTAGAGAGATATCTGCCAAGTTTCGAGAAAATCGGTCCAGATTTCTATATAGCTCCCATATATAGTTTCGTCCGATTTCATGTAACTGGTGCACCAAAGTCGCTATATACTTTTCGATTTGCACGAAATTTGGCATAACCTACTGAATTAAGCCTAGAGTGATGTCTGCCAATTTTCGTGAAAATCGGTCCTGATTTAGATATAGCTCCCATATATAGTTTCGTCCGATTTCATGTAAATGGTGCACCAAAATCCCTATATATCCTTCGATTTGCACCAAATTTGGCATAACGTACTGAATTGAGCCTAGAATTATGTCTGCCAAGTTTCGTGAAAATCGGTCCAGATTTATATATAGCTCCCATATATAGTTTCGTCCGATTTCATGTAAATGGTGCACCAAAGTCCCTATATATCCTTCGATTTGCAAGAGATTTGGCATAACGCACTGAGTTGATCCTAGAGTCATGTCTGCCAAGTTTTGAGAAAATCGGTTCAGATTTAGATATACCTCCCATATATAGTTTCGTCCGATTTAATGTAAATGGTGCACCAAAGTCCCTATATATTTTTCGATTTGCACGAAATTTGGCATAACCTACTGAATTAAGCCTAGAGTGATGTCTGCCAAGTTTCGAGAAAATCGGCCCAGATTTAGATATAGCTCCCATATACAGTTTCGTCCGATTTCATGTAAATGGTGCACCAAAGTCCCTATATATCCTTCGATATGCAAGAGATTTGGCATAACGTACTGAATGAAGCATAGAGTGATGTCTGCCAAGTTTCGAGAAAATCGGTACAGATTTATATATAGCTCCCATATATAGTTTCGTCCGATTTCATGTAAATGGTGCACCAAAGTCCCTATATATCCTTCGATTTGCAAGAGATTTGGCATAACGTACTGAAATGAGCCTAGAGTGATATCTGCCAAGTTTCGAGAAAATCGGTCCAGATTTCTATATAGCTCCCATATATAGTTTCGTCCGATTTCATGTAAATGGTGCACCAAAGTCGCTATATACCTTTCGATTTGCACGAAATTTGGCATAACGTACTGAATTGAGCCTAGAGTTATGTCTGCTTTTTTCGTGAAAATCGGTCCAGATTTAGATATAGCTCCCTTTTATTATAGATTGATTTAAGTAATTGACGCACCAAGGAACCAATAGGCTGATAGGAACAAAACTTTCTGAAATTAGAACAACCTAACCTGTGACAAGTTTGTTCAAGTCGCTTAATATTTGGATAGAGCTTCCATATATATTTTCCCCCGGTTTCAAGTAAATTGGACATCAAACTCCTCATGTTAGTCAGATTGACATAAAATGTTACACAACTTACAAAATTTAGCATAGAATTACGTAGTTGCGTTTTCTAGAAGTACAGACATAGCCCAACGGATGACCTATTTATATTTGTTTGAAGTCGATTTACATACTTTATGGATATATCTAGGTAGATTCACATTTAAATAAATATCAACTGTTTTAGTTCATCCAATTTCATTTTAATGGTCCTGTTGAATACACCCAATGTGGTGAAGGGTATCATAAAGTCGGCCCCGTCCGACTTTACTACTTTCCTTACTGGTTTTGCAATAACAAAAAGGGTTCCATTTCCCTGTTCTATGGATTTTTTTAAACTAAAACAATTGTCCTTGTGACGTCCATACTATTTGAAAAATAATTTTGAATTCATGAATGAATATATAAATTGTTGTATTAAAAAGTGGGTTCCAATTCATTTTATAATTATAATAAAATTTTAAAAATTCCTGTATAAGTGTAAAATGTCTAGATATAGAATCTTATTCACGCCTCAAGGTATGCTTCAACTTTTGTAGAGTACACTGACACAATATATAAAGGGAAACGTCTATGAAACACCCTGTAATTTACAAAAGCAAACCGTCTTACACTGGGTACATCACCATTTCAAATGTATAAGACTTCTATTTTTGTTTGTACAGTACAAAATCGATACCATTTAAAAATGGTAGGTACTCTATAGTGCGCCAAAATGTTTAAATGTTTCTTCTTAAAAATACAAGATGAAAAATTTATTTTCCCTATTGTTTTGGTGAATTTGTTATAGAAGAATATTTAAGACATATTATTATAATTACTGTAATCATAATATTGCATTTACATTGTACAGGATTTAGTTAACACCGTGGAAATAATCTCAAGGCTCGTCAGATGTTATTTATTTACGTATTTTTTTACTGCTTTCATAATTTCTGTGGCGCCTTTCAATTAATATTTTCATCATTTTGTTAGGTATGGCTCTCTATTGCCTAACAACATTTGTTGTTCTAAACTATAGTAATATTTATTACAACTTAAAAAATATATTATTCAGCAGCTGATCTATTTTTGTTAGACAGTTATTTCGAATATTGACTAATTTTAAGGCATACTTTAAGGAGAAACATTTATTTATTTATTATTTTCTGGTGCAAAAGCAGTTTTGTATTTGTATCAAGGATGCTAAATTTGGTACAATTGTACTAATTTTAGCATTATTTGGAGGCAGTTGATTGGAAGATTTAAGTGTTATTCTTATATTTATGTATATAAAAATGAATTATTTTTTTATGTTTTTTGTTAATTGTTATTAATAATAACAATTTTATTAAAAAATATATAAAAAAGTGAAAAAAATAAAATTTTTATTGAAAGAAGGTGCAATTTCAATAATTTCATTTCGCATCCCTAATTTGTAATTATATCGATTTGAGAGGTTCGTTTATATGGGGAGCTACCCTAAAAAGTGGAATAATATTGATGTGTTTGGTAGAAAGAATTGCTAACCAATAAGAAAACAAAATACCAAATTGCAACCCATTATATTGAAGAACGTGCCGAAAATTCCAATGTACCGAAAATTAATACCAAACATTATCTATGTTCAATATTGAGAGCTCTATCGTGATTTCGACTTCGAACTTTGTTCTGATCATGAGCTGAATATTTCGAAGTGTTGCAAATCCATGGAGGGTATAAATCAAGTACACGGTTGCCGTGAGTTAACCCCCTTACCAGCCAATTTTTTACAATTTTTTTCTAAAAAAATATTCTGGTGCCTTTTTTTTTACTCAGGCGCTCAACTTACTATCACGAATTCGAGATATTGAGACTTTGAATCTAAAACTTTTACGTAGTAATAAGGCGAAATGATCCGAAAAGTCGAAAACGGCAACACAGTTTAGAAAGCTAAGTAATTTGGTAACTTTTTGTGTTGCTCTGGAAACCTGGGTTCAAATCATAGCCATGATCAGCTGGAATAATTTTTATTTATTGCAAAAAAATCGATCATTAAGACTTAATTAACTATATTACATCATATGGGTTTAAAATCGGAGCCTAGTAAAATAATATATTTTGAACCACAAATGTCAATGCCGAAAATTAATTTATCGAAGTCGATCTATAATACCCTTTTTAAATGATACTAAGGCCTATAACTATTGCGATCTATAATACCCTTTTTAAATGATACTAAGGCCTATAACTATTGCCTACTTTTAGGCTGATAAATTTTGATATACATATCACTCATTTGCTACAGGACAGGCATAACTCAAAAAAAAGATTTTGCAGAAAATGCGTTTTAAGTTTTCAATTTACACACACTTTATATGGGACAGAGGAACTTCCACAGCTTCTCAATTACAGTGTGTAAGAGATATGCATATGCATTTATTATAGCGAACAATCGTACATCATTGACTCGAGAATCACATTTTTTTAGCTATACCTGTCTTGCAGCTACTACTATTATTCTATTCATTGCACTATAAATAGGTAGTCCATTTAGCGCAGCTGATGACTTGATTAACTGTAAAAGTGCGAATTTTCTACTTGAATTCGATGTGCAAGTTCGCCAACCATGTGAATTATTAAAGGAAAAATTTGACAGATGGTGCAGACAAATACAAAGTTTTTTTGTTTTGATACACAACCTTATTATTGCATCATGGGACAATGAATAGGTAGTCCATTTAGAGCAGCTGATGTCTTGATTAACTGTCAAAGTGCGTAATTTCTACTTGAATTCGATGTGCAGTGTTGCCAACAGTGTGAAATATTATATGGAAAAATTTAACAGATGGTCGAGACAAAAACAAAGGTTTTTATTTTAATACATCACCTTATTATTGCATCATGGTTTGCACTTTTATACCTGCGTTCCATTCCCGAATTTTCAGTGTATTGCTGGACTATCAGATCGATTTAGAGATTTAACTCTTTTACTAGTTTTACTATTACAAAAGTATGAATATACAGTATACTTTTTTTAAATTTGATATGTTGTCTTAATTAGGTTTTATATCGGCTAAGGATATCGTATAGGTATCTACTTAAACTGTATATTTTTCAAAATAGAATTTTAGATCTTGTAAATCGAAAAAAATAATTCTAGAGGTTTGCGATCTTAATTTTTAATTATTAAAAAAAATGAACGTAATTAATTGTTTAGTTAATTAAAAATTGGAAATTTAATATCGACACATTTATTTTAAAACCATATGATTGTCACTTAGACCTTAATAAGCGGTGTACACACTATCATTTTTGAATGACACTCTTGCTGAAATATCGGTTTGCTTGCCAGTGTAGCCGTTAATTTCTCTCAGTCATCAGGCAACCACAAAAAAATTTACGGTTGCGTGACATTCAGATGATGGATGCTTGTTGGTTCGATAATGTGAACATAAAAAACGACAGTCAGACAATAAATTTCAACAATAACATGGACTCCGAAAACGAATTTTTAAAAGAATTCCTATGTTGCTATGAAATGCAACGGTGTCTCTGGGACATAACCAGTCCAGACTACATGTCACGCGACATTAAAATGAAATCGTATGGAGAACTGCTACATAAATTGAAAAAGTATAAAAAAATTGTACTGTGGACGACGTGAAAAAGAAAATCAACACAATTCGTTCGTCCTACAGAAGGGAACTCAAAAAAAAAATAAATAAATAAAGCAGTCTGAAACTTCTGGAGCGGACAATATTTACCAGGCGAAGATTTGGTGGTTTGAGTCGTGCAAGTTTCTCCAGAGCTATGAGAAACCAACCGATAGCATATCAACACTGAGGAGCTGGTTCAGGGACTACGTCTGCAGTGGGCCAAGAACAAGAAACATGTCAACAATGGTTATCGCCTGGAGACACAAATGCGCTACAGCCGTACCAAGAAAATGCTTTTGGAATTCACCGCTGCCGATCGTATCTACTTCGATAAGTCCATCAATTTGGCTGCCTGCATGAAGGAGAATTTCCAAGATGAACTTGAATCGGACTTCAGAACCAAAGCCGAAGAGGGACGCATGGAAATCAACAACTGGATTGCCAATGTAACACGCAACGAAATCCCCGAAATGTAAAATCCCTGTGATGTTACCACCGACTGTCAAATGGTTTTGGCTAATGCTGCCTATTTCAAGGTTCAATGGTCGGATAAATTCGATGCCAAAGATACAAAACAGGGGATTTTTTATACCACCCCTAGCCAGTATTCTTTCGTACCCATGAGTCATAAACGTGAAGAATTTGGAATTAGTACCGATTCTACGCAAATTGGGCATCGAGCATCCCGCCCACTTGAGTGGCTTCTCCACGGAAACAAGCCTAATGTTTGGTGATGCCAAACATGTTGCCAAAATCAAGGTTGATGAGGAGGGCAGTACTGCTGCAGCAGCCACAGTTGTTTTCAGTTTCCATTCTGCACGTCCCGCCGAACCAACCAAATTCGAATGTATTAATCCATTTATGTTCCTGATCTATGATAATACCGCCAAGGCTGTACTCTTCACTGGCATTTATCGTGATCCCAAAACAAAAAAGTAGACAGGCAAGGAGATTCTTTCACATTTCTCTACCCTAGGACTTTTTTACTCGTCTCGTTTCCATTCTATTTGTTTGTTTTATGATCCGAATGACAATTTTGAAAAAAAGAAATTGTGAGACCGAGATTTCATTAAGAAACCAATAAAATTCAAAGCCTATTTTTGATTTTTATTATTAAAATTTCACATCCAATTTTTTATCATCCATTTTGTATTAATATATTTTTTATACGGCGTCTTATTAGCACAATTTATAAATTTGAATGTCGGTTTGAAAAAAGGCATGAACGATAATATGGCCGCTACAAACAACACAACAAAACTGTAACAACCGATAAGTTATCGAAACTGTCACTCAAAAACGATAGTGTGTACACCGCTTTAGATTTGGATTTCAATTTTTATTTGACGCAACTCTGGAAATAAAATAAAACCGTAGACGCTACTACATCAATGTTATGGATTTTAGTTTCAACTTCGTAAAAATATACTCATTTGTAATAGTAGGATTGAAAACGGGCGCAGTGATTAACCGTAACATGATGCTATATTGACGGCGGTTACAATTTAAACAGTTAATAACATTCCATCCCATTGTCTAATACATATCCTCTATTACCCATCGTTTTAAGATATATTCACATATGATAGATCTTTTATAATAAATGTATATTGCAGGTATTTATTTTAAGAATTTATTTAGCCTTAATTTATATTTTTTCCTATAATATTTAATAATTTCATTATAAACAAACAGTCTTTTATGTAGCTTTTATTAATACAACTCGATAACAGGTACATTATTTTACTGTAGTATAGCCCATATATTCCTCACGAACATGGGTATATTTATCCAGTAGGCAATTGGTGGCTTTTGGATAATTCGATTGACAATCGACACCTTTGAGACCCATATGCCAGGCATCAACATAATATGAGTCCAAGTTTCGATGGGGTCTGGAAAAAGAGAGAAATAAAAAAGTATTTCAATTAAAAGGTTTAAATGTTTGTCACTGGAAAAAACAATTAGTAAAAATTATCTCAATTTATAAGCAGATATAAAAATAATACTACGCTTCTGTGCAGACCATAGTCTGATGTCATTCCTTACCTTAAAAATCGATACAACAACTCGGCATACAATCCCTGATGTACATCGATCTGGGCATTTTCACATATTGCCTTCAGTAGACATTCACGGCCATTACCGCCATGTCGATGCATAAGATTCTCAGCAAATGTATAGAGAAACAGTTGTGCCTCATCTGTTTGAAATTCATCTTCTGAATATGTCAAGGGTCCCAGATTACCATTTAAATTACGTTTATCCCATTTATCCCACCAATAGATGGGTTTTGGTGGCAGCCCATATTGATAATGGAAATTATACAACATAACCAATTGACGCCACGGCCGACTATCTTGTAAATCGATGGGATATGTTACACCGGTGACGACCTGAAAAAACAGCAATTTATTGATTATAATAATATAATATACGTTAACATTGTACCAGAATTCGTTAAGCCAGTGGGTATAATCGACAATTCCATTGTAAATATGTTAAATAAATCCTCATAAAACAGCTCTAATGTAAATGCCGTTTAAGTTTTTAATATGACAATAATAAACCATAGAACCCTATATTTAATAAAAATTTAAAAGAGGGTTTTTGGCAATGACTTCTAAATCTATTATATTTTGTAAGACTAGAAACACATATTCTAAGCCTTCTAAATTGACTCGACTTCTAAACCGAGGTAATAAATCTTAGCTGCTAGAATTCTATTAAAATGATATTAAGTCAATCAGCTGATATTTGTTTATGTATACATATACATCCCTAATTCTATGTAGTTGGCAACTATTATATCAAAGTACAAATTTCACACATAACGCGTTGCCATATTTGTACTTTTCGGAAAATGTGATGCATTTTTTGTTACAAAAACAGTGTTGTATTTGATATTATTTCGAGCATTGCACAGAATTTCGAGCAAATCGAGGTAATGAGTGAATTTAATTTTGGACTATACAATTTACACTAAAAAAGTTATAGCTAATATAAAAATTATGGACCGTTTACATAGCTTATGGATAGTTAATAAAAGAAATCAACTCCGTCGGCATAAAGTGAACGTAAACACATTAATTATTAAAGGATACATATCTAATTTTATTATTATTTTTTTAACGAAGAACTTAATAACAACCTACCTTTGCCGTTCCCGAATGTGTAAATATAAGATATCTCTTTTTGCGCCGATGCTCCCGCCAATGCGTCAAATTATGTACTGGTACCTGATAATCATCTGTTTCAAATGCAAGAATATCAATTGGTAATATGGTCATGTAGAATAGATATAGAATTCTGCAAGTAAAATATATAGAACCATTATTTACATATTAAAATTGCTTCAAAGTCTTAATATGATAATTTAAATGACAAAAAAAAAACAAATTATTTCTTTAACATTACGATTGATGTAAATGTAGGATTACTCTTATTCAATTGTTGTGAGATAAATAGGTACTCCATTTAGAACAGATGACTATCCGATTAACTGTCAAAATGCATATTTTCTACTTGAGTTCGATGAACAATGTTGTCAAACATGAGAAACGTTACTAGATAATATTTGACAGATGGTCGGGTAAAAAACAATTGTTTTTGTTTTGGCACAATAAATAGGTCGTTCATTTTACGCAGCTGATGACTCGATTTACTGTCAAAGTGCGTAATTTTTACTTGAATTCGATGTGCAATGATTCCAAGCATGTGCAATATTATAAGGAAAAATTTGACAGATGGTCGAGACAAAAACAAATGCTACTGGCAGTTATCTGAAGTCTTTTTTTCTGAAATTTGTTATTCTAAGTGCATGATTTGGTATGTATACAGTACAATTAGTTGAAAACACGAACTTTCCAGTACATAAAGACATATCAATTCGTTTGAAATCAATTCAGAAGTTGTCTATTCCTAGCCTTATAGCCTAGACAGATGACAGGCTTAATTTGCATTAACAGCCTTAATTCAAATTAACTTGTACATTATCCTCATTTTTAATGCACAAAATCAAACTGAATTTATACTGAATTAACCAAATTCAATATGGCAATGCTGTTGAAAAACAATTAATTGTTGTCAAATTTGTTTACGTTTATAAAAATAAAAATTATAAATAAAGGCAAATTTCAAAATTCTTTCAAATTGGGAGCTGTTTTGCTAACATCATAGCTGTTTTTCTTCCTTTATGCTATGTATCCATTTCATTAACATCTATCCCGAAAAATATTAGAAACAAATGCCAACATTTTCTTCCTACACACAATTGTTTGAAACAAAAAACTATTTTGTAAATGCAGAAACTCTCGTCTGTCAGGGGTAAATATTAATTCAAATTAAGCACTTTGTAATGCAAATTAAGGCTGTCGTCTGTCTATGGTATTATTCTAACGTATGCTAACAATATCCTCCTTCCCCACTTCGTTATTTCCTGGGAGTATAGGGCTTCCATAAAGCTTGCCATCTTACTCCGTTAATTGCTGTTGCTTTGCATCTTCTCAATTAGGATTATTTTGTCTTAGTTCTTGTTTTAACTGTTCCTTGGGACCATTCGGGCGCCATTGTGGTTATGCTATGAACATGTTTTTCTTAAGGTATAGTCAATTCCTGTTTTATGTTTAATGTCCTGTTGTATGAGTTTTTGCTTTGTTATTTTCCACAGCTCTGTTTTTTATAGAATCCAAAGTCTTTTGTTTAGAAATACATGTAGCTTGTCACGCTAATGTTGGACACAAGCCAGGTTTCACTGTCGTATTCAAAAGCTTCAAATATTTTAATATTGTTTATTTTTTTGGATAAATGTGCATATGTAAGCTTCTCCATACACCTTGCTGTCGCCCAAATGATGCTCTTGCTTTGTGATTAATGGACGGGATCAATTGCTTATACATCAGAAATTGAACCTCCGACGGAAATTCACATTCTTGCTCTTTGATAGCACATACTCATCATGATAGCAGATAATTCATCCAGTTTGCGACTCCGATGAATTTTTTGCCAACTTCGATAGTTGGAATATATTTTCCCATTTATTCGGAGTAGATATAGGTGACAATATTGTCCGTTGCATTGCAGTTTAGGATTTGTCACTTGCTTATACATCAGCAATTTTACTTCCGACGGAAGTCCTTCTCACAAAAGAAAAACACTTTGGTAGGCGAAATTAATATTCATGGTCTTCGACAGAACATTCTAATTATAAGGGTGAAGTCGAATAAGTTCTCCTCGCATACGGAAAGCCTTTTTGTAGGCGCAATTCATTTTCATGACATTTGACAGCACATAATCATGCTTTCTTCGTAGTAGACTTGGGTGGCAATATTCTGTCTTCCCACATCGTAATGCTTCCTATTTCAGTTGTCTTCGTGATTTTTCTGGTACTACTATTTACTAGGCAAAAAATATGTCACAAAATATCCACCTTTGGTAGAATAAATTCATCTTCTTAGTTTTCGACAGTATATAATAGTGTCCACATAGCGAATAGGAATTTTCGTTTAATGAAAATAATGAATATCTTGCTGTGGCTCTCTTGTGTAAAAGATAGATATATTTAGTTAAACAGGGATCTATTTTTGTAGACAGCCCACTTAAGATAAGAAATTTTTCTTGTTGAATGTTTGCACACCAAATTAGGATTAGGGTTTGCTATTGCCTTGTCGATCCCTCGTTTAGCAATCACGACAGATGTGGAAACAGTGGAGGAACATATTGAGAATATTTGGTAATCATCATAACAGTCCAAGATGCTTCATCCAGTCTGAAACTCCGATGAGTTTGAGGCCTGTATTTTTGTATTTCTCTATTGTTGCCTTGTTTTGCATTAAAACCCACAGTACGTATTTTCCAATGGTGGGATTGAGTCCTCAATTTCTGTGACATTTCCATGGATGATCCTCTTCTTGGTCCATGATTTTGTATATATAAGGGGCTATTTACAAGACATTTGTCGTACAGCATGATTCCAAGGTACTTCATCTAGTCCGTCATCCTTAGTTGGAAATTTTTTCGGATTTCTTCTTTTTAAATTTGCATTAAAAATTATAGTAAGCATATTCCATCGGTGATATTGAGTCCTCATTTGATGTAGTTGTAACGCAAGATTTTTGTATGTTAGCAACAATCTTCATTTAGGTTTTTGAGATTCCATTTCTTAATCCTCTTATTGGTCACGAACCAAAAATGTTCGAGAATTTTGACTGAATAGATAAGGATTTGGACACAGTCCCTATATAATTGTACCGGACATTTGACATTCGCCAAAAATGGATCAGTTTATGTAAAAGTTTTTGCAAAACACATAAGCTCTCAGAATTTTTCATAAAAATCAACCAATCTACATACTATGAATACATTCATAGAACAAATCACACTAAATTGATTTCTTTTTTTTTTTTTTGGTATATTTATGTCAAAAAAATTTACATACACTATTTTCATTTTGTTCTCGTTTCGTATTTTATTTTCACTATTTTTGTTAATTCGTTACTCTTTTTTCAAATTCCCGACGATTTTTTATTTTTCTCAAAAATATTTCTTTTTTGTTTCAAATAAACCGTTGTGTTATCTATTCAATCTGTTCTCATTAGTAGGTTGATGATGACTGAAGACAATGTGAAACAAGAAGTTTATATTCCTCTCTAGAGTGCGTAAAATTAACACCATGTAACACCCCACCATCGACTCATCTTGCATCGTCATCACCATCTCCAACAAAACATAATTATTAGCATTGTCCATATCACAACAACCCGGCCATTAACAACATCTTCATTGTCTCTGATACAAATTCATAATTTCCATTCACGTGCCTTATACGTCAGAATTTGTTAATTTTCAATTAGCAGTCAATCGAAATCAGACATGTCATTTTGTCATGTTATGTTAATCGTGAAAGTATGGCCAATGATCAGTGGCCAGATGGATAGAATGTGTGGATTATTGCGGGTTACTAGGTTGGAAATTGAGATTTGATGTGGATTCTAGAAAGTAAGAAGAATAGAATTCCGATTTCTTTCTATATATATTGGATATTTTGGGATATGGCGCCCAATATATTCATATAAACCGAACCCGTTACAAACGCAAGTATGTGCATTATTAGTTAACGATAATTTGGAAAATGCATATGCGAATTTTTTAACACCAATGCAGGGGAGGGTCGGAGGACGATACCAAAACAAAACGCAGTCGTACAATGGTTGTGGTGATTGCAAAAATAACAACCACGAAGTAAGGGAAGAGGCGGTGGACGATACCAAAACAAAACACAGCCGTACAATGGTTGTATTTGTTTTTTTTTTTCTTGGAAGGAGTACATTTGTTTTTGTCAAAAAGAGAGAGGAAAATGAGCGCAAATTCTGGTAAAGTAGAGCGAAATAAAAGCATGGGTGGGATATTATTGAAATGTTTTCATTTTTCCCCTTTTGGCGATTGTTTCATTATAGAGAATCGGCAAATATTGATTCTAATGGTAGTAACTTTGGCTATGAAGCTGGACAGAAGCTATACTCTGTGGGTGACCAGTCCCGAACTGTTTGGGGTTCTACTGGTAATAGCTTCGGCTATGAATCTGACCGAAGGTTTCGGTAACACGGGTGTCATGTCCCTAGGTCTGTGCATCTAGCCTGGCAGTTGGTGTTGGCCCTTAGATGGAACAACTTGCTGGATGTGGTTTATACCAAAATCGCCGGTAGAGCTCCGGCTCGATGTGGAGTTGCATTACAATCGGGTGCCTGACCCATAGAAAGGCAAGAATGGTACTTGCTTTTTGGTGTGGAGGCTTTGGTTGACGTTTTGCATTAACTGGTCTTTACAGCACCGTAGGGTAAGACTGCAAGCTAGCATCTCTGACTTAAGCTAAAAATACTTCAAAAAAGATCTGAAATGAATCGAATCCTGCCTAAGCTTGAGGCAGTGCAAAACGATTAAAAATATTGCCCACCTAAGAATTCTTAAAAGAAAATGGTACGAACACTGATTTGAGAAAATACTGTCGGCTAGTGATAGGGTATTTAGAGCATGAATCATCGAAGAAATCAATATGAATAATTTACTAACTGGAGGAGAAGTCTCAGATATAATGTACTCAAATATAAAGTCTCAGATATAATAATTCAAATAGCAATTAATCAATTAATAACAATTAATCGGCTGAATAATAATAAAACAGCAGGTGCCGATGGATTACCAGCCGAACTATTCAAGACCGGTGGTCAGATGCTTGTCAGAAGCATGCACCAACTGATCATGATTGATCAGCATCCAATGATTGGGACCTCAA